TGAGGGGCTGTCGCCACTGCCGTCTGACGCTCACCCCTGGCTGTGGAGGGCCCAGGAGAAAAGCTTGGCTCAGTTCCTACAGCAGAGTTCAAGGGGAGTTTTACTGGTGGTGTGTGTTGTTATTTGTGTTGTTAAATGCAAACGTTGCTATTTATTTTTGCCTCTCTGCTCTGGTGTGATTTGGCCATGTGGATATCCAGCGCGTGTGGTACCTGATGGATATGATAGAAAAACCATTTTCCCCAACTTTTATAAATTACCTAATGTTTACCTTCAAGCTTGCTGGATGATTTATTTTTGAAAGCCACAAATGTAATTTTTCTGGATGAATTGTTTTTCTTCTATATGCGGCAATGTAATTTTACATTGATCTGCGGGGTGATTTAAATTTTATTTTTACAAGGCAGTTTTTCAGTCAAATTATATATTTATACAATATGTTGAGGCTAGATCAGCACAGCGTCGTGCAGTTGGGACCCCAGCCTGTCTCCGGGAGGCCCCTGGGGCCGGGGTGGTCCCCCTGCTCCAGCTGCTGTGGAAGCACTGGCTTGTTGTGTGGCTCCAGCAGGATCTGCGTGCGGTCCCTTGGCGGGACTTCAGTCTGCTGGACAGTTAAAAGGATTTTTCGTGGGCATTTTCCTACATCTAAGGCAGGGGCGTTAGGAGGGGCTTTAGAAGTTGACATAATGCGGACAGTGGACAATCCCAGCAGCCCAGACAAGCCATAGAAATCTCCCTGTGACCTCTCATCTCTCACACTTATGAGAAAAGGAATGTACAATTGATACAAACTTCCTCAGTGTTCGTACACCTCTTTCAGAATGCAAATACTTCATTCATAGGACAAGCCCTTCCCCAGAGTCCCAAAGTAACTGAGAAGATCCTCTGTGGCTGCCGTGCCAGCAGTTTTGGCTGCTGTGAAGTTTTTCAGTGTAGACATAGCACACCTGTGACTTTGTAATGGGCTGTCCGTGTCATACACACATGCTGACTTTTTTGTAAGGAAAGTTTTCAACTCAAAATAATTGCACTGATTTTTTGACAACTTCCTTTTATTATCTCCAACTTTGCATCTGCTGTACTTGTTTGAAATGATTGTAAATAGATATAGGATAGCAGAAATGACAGGAATACAACATGTTGCTTTGTTTGAGTCATTCTACCACCGTTTTCAGTATTATTGTAGAGTTCTGTGGACTTAATTCTGTTCTCGTTAGCCTTGTGTCTGTTGACCAATTTGTGAAGGACAAATTAGCTTCATTTTCTTAGTTTTCTGAAAGGAAGTTTGCAGTCTGTTGAAAGGAGTTGAGGTCTGAAGGTTTAATCGTTTGAACATGTTTCTTGTCCATTTAATTCCTTGTTATTTTCCATGACTCCCTAAAGTATTTTCTTCTAGTTCCATCCAGCAGTTGGCCATTTGGATTGGAAGCACCTGTATGTTAACAAGTCAGGCTCTCCCTTCTCTCTGGTCAGCCATCATTTTAAAGCCATGAGGTCACTGTTGTGTCAAGGGTGTCATGGGTGGCTGAACCACAGCTGCTCGGGCCCCGGGCCGGCACTGCTCCTGTGTACCCCATGCTCTTGCTAGCTTAGAAGTGTGTGCTCCGGCCCAGGGTGTGATTTTGTTCGTGGTCAGGCTGCCCAGGACCAGACACACTGAGGAGCTATTAGACACAAGCCAGTGGTCTGAGCGTGTGTCAGTGTCACATGGGCGCCGTCGCGGCATCCTCACTCAATGCTTTTTTGGATATGTTTGCCATTTTATTGTCTAAAGTGAATGTATTGGCTTAGCCAAATCACTACAGAAGGTGGTTTCTGAATACCTTTTAGTAAAAAAAAAAAAAATTAATGCAGATACAGGCT